AGTAGTGGTAAAGACTTTTAACATAAACTACAGTTGTTTTGTTCAGAGCTGACACTACTGTAGACTTTAGTATGAACTCCAGCTAGCTAACCTGAAGAGCAGATGGGGAACTGGCTGGCGTTTTCCACAAACTTAATATTGGAAATGAACAATAAGCTACAAGCAAAATCACCATCAGAGTCAATCATTAGTATAATACTGTAGTTATCACCACACGTACCTGCTTGGAGTTCCTTGGAGAGTTCGTGTAAGGTTAGCAGTCTTGCAGTGAGTGAGGCACTATTGCACGTAGCAGTCAAGTACTCAAAATCGATTCTATTCACAGTGAAAGGGAACCATGGTGGCAGAAACGCTGATACTACAATAAAACCCACAGTTAGGGTCAAAGCAAGACTAACAGCAACATGGTAGTTCGTGTTCCTACATAACCATTGTTTAAAGATTGCAGTTGTTTAATATTTATAAAAATGATCTATTCTACCTTGTTAAGGAGCTAATGTTAAGGGCCAAGTATGTAATGGTGGGTGTCCGGGTAGCTAGTGCGCATGCACACTTGACTTTGGTATCTCATAATTATGACTCAGTAAGTCGAAATTTTGACTTTTTATCTCATAATTTTGACTTACTAAGTCGAAATTTCGACTTTTTATCTCATAATTAATGATTTGATTTGATTTATTCTTTCAAACATGTAACAACAGATAATATGTCAACACACATAATTCTACACATAACCACAAATATATTTTCAATTTGCTTATACCTAGTACATGCTTGAACTATGACTTAGGTAAGTCAAAATTTCGACTTTTTATCTCATAATTTTGACTTTGTAGATCAAAAACATTTTTTTGTACTGGCAGAAACGGGCTTCCATAGATATGACTGAAGTTTTGTGGTTTTTACCTCTGAGCTCTGGTAACAAAAAGTATGAAAAGTTTGGTGTTTTTGTGGCATTACAGGCTACTGCTACAGTTTAATTGCAAATTAAGCAAAGTGGTGTCATAATTAGGCACAATCGCATTTGTGCGTCTACTTTGTCAGATTTTGATTACCGGCTAATTTTGAACAGGCTCTCTCACCTTATACATTCAAACTTTTCACTAAGATGTTTATCACTTATCTGTGTGTGTGTGTGTGTGTGTGAGGTGACGTCACTCGCAAAAGCTGAAATGCTGCTTTAGGTCTGAAGTGAATTGTTTTTGGCCCAGAGTCCGCCTGTGTGCGATTGATTTTGTGTTAAAGCATAGGTACTGCTATAAATGAAGTTATCAGACAAAGTATCAAATGTGGTAAGTTAGCAAAACCCATTGCATTTTGTTGAGTAGCATCAAAAACAGTATCACAACTCAAAACCAGGGCACGGTGGAGCAGTGGTTAGCTGCTGCCTCTTAGCAAGAAGATTCCGGGTTCGAACGCTGGTGTCTGTGGAGTTTGCATGATCGGCGACTCTAAATTGCCCCTAGGAGCGTGGGTGTGTTTGTTTCTTAGTGTCAGCCCTATCATAGACTGTAGGCTGGGATTGGCTCCAGTCACCCTGGGACCCCTCTTCAGGATGAGCAGGATAGATGATGGATGGAGGAACAGGTGGATGTCAAAATCAACTTGGGCCAATTGCAGCAAAGTCCTCAAATAAGCCATATGGAATTTATTTAATACACCCTATTCTTACAATAAGTATTTATATTGCATCAAAGTGAATTCAGAGCATTTTCTACATGTTTTTGTGCACTATTAGTAAGTGTAGATTTACAGTGCTTACAGCAGAAGTCACTAGGTCAACAAATAAAATAAAACAGCATCCTAATATGGAGAAATGTTAAATGTAAAAAAAAAAAAAGGCATGTGGCATGAATTAACAAGGTGAGTCTGAATTTCCCTGTTACTTTTTATGAGCATACAAGAAGGTCCAGTTAATTACAATCAATATAAATAAAATAATTATAACAACAAATAGTGCTATTGTTTTTTCATATGCAATACATAGTAGCTATGATCCTTAATTTTCTTTATTACTAGCATAAAAAACATTTGAATTAAAAAAAAAATTCTAAAATGTAGCCTTCATCTAGGGTTGATGTTCAGAACCTCTGGACATCTGTGACCTGAAGAAACACAAAGTAGGGGTCCCATATCAATATCAATAGTTCAACTGTAATCTATTAACGGTCGCTGTACTTTTCTGGAGACAGTAGTTACTTCAGGCTGTATAACAGAATATTAATACCTGTGATTGTCAGTATTTTCTAGATGTGGCTTAAAACCCTCTGATGGCTAAGTACCCGTAAATTCCAAGTTGTGATCTCCTGCGCAAAAGAATACGATAAAGCTGGTAATGTTAAAAACACAAAATTAAGAGTCCTTGCAGAGAAATGATTTTTTTTTTTAAATAAAAGAATGATTGCTAAACAACAGACCGGCACATACACACCTGTATTATAGAAGCCAAAGAAATCTTCTGAGAAAGTAGACAGTCTTCTGTTATATGAGTTGCTCCTTTTCCTAAAATAGAGGCACAGGTTCATTGGTCCCATATAGGTTTTATAATTGGATAACAAAAAACTAAAATGTTGACCTTTGGGATATTACAATATAAGAAGAGAAATTTAAGGCACCATAACCCACCAAACGCCTGTATATTTCTTTCTGACAAGGATAATAGTGATGATGATAATCAAGAGCAGGAGTGCTACTGCCAGTGATCCAAACAGTGCTCCATAGAAGCCCGGACCCCAGTGGAACACGTCACACCGGGGGCCATAAAACTGCTTCAGGCTAGAATTGAAGCACCTGGGTTAAAGGACAAGAGTGAATTACATTATTAAAATGTATGATATTAGCAAAGTTGGCTCCAGCCCCCCACCCCCCTGCGACCCTTGACAACATAGAAGGTATAGGTAATGGATGGATGAATTAGCAAAGTTATGACATGTTTAAGTTTCTTGCAGTAAAAACAAAACAAAAACAATTCTATCACTTACCTACAGACAGGGCCTTTGTTAATGTCATTGAGGCATTGTCCATGCTGATGACAGTAATCTGGGTTTGTTTTGCAGTGTCCAACACACTGCCACTGACCATCAATGATCTCAGCAGTGTAGCTGGCAAACTTAGTACAGTTAACATAAGGCTTCAGGTCTGTGATATCTGAATGATAAAAAATAAGATTGTTGTCCATAATCATCATCATCATCATCATCATCCTTTTGTTCAAATACAGAACTTTAAAGAAAACTACTGAGCAAAGAAACAGACTTGCACAAAGCAGCATAAGTTAGTTACACGTGTTAGAACTGACAGTATACTTACTGTTAATCACCGGCGGTTGCAACCTGAGACTATTTAATGTCACACCTCTATTATTAAAGGCCTGAGAGATGTTTTTTAGGTTAATTGTGTTATTCAAGATGTCAGTCAACGCCCGATCAAGCTGAAAGCTGACAAAATGGATTTGACTCTCATTGTTTGGATAG